CCACATTGGTTTCACCTCCCCCTGGTCCGAACAGGCTCATTAGAAGGACAAAGGACGGGGGGTGAGGGAAAATCCCATTTCTGCAGTCCTTCGCCCAGGACTGAAGAAGCTACTTGGATGAGTAGCAAAATGTTTCACCCTAATAAGAAAGAAGTCCCGTTGCCATGACTCCCTTCCAGATAACCTCACCTGGATCACTGAGAATCTTCACAGAAATATTAATGAATTTGTGATGTCCAAAAGGTCTTATCATTAACAGTCCTGCTCAGGTCTTGAAAACTCAATGCTGTGCCTTCCTTCATTAACTAAATTCATCTCACATTATTTCACTTTTTCCTGCTGCCTTCAACTTCTTGTAGCCCTATTGTTTTTTCCAAAGAATCCCATCTCCTTCTGATGTGCCTGTGTCCTGCACCAATATTTAGACCCCTTTGTTGATGACCTGAGAACTTTCCAAAAAACAATGCATACTGTAAAATTCAGTTGGTTACTTAGCCCTTGTTTGAGTTTCCCTTTGATCGATCCACAAACTATTTAGACAAGAGATTTTGCTAGAGCAGAAGGACATACGTTCATGAAGTTGAAGCTTAATTCATTATTCTTCTCTACTAAGCTACGGATAATTAAGGTGAGCTAAAGTTTGTATAGAAAATGCCGAGGTGTTAGCCAGAGTACAAATTGACACTGTCCTGTAGCCATGTTGATTCTGCAGTACTAGAAAGCACTTACTGTGGGAGTAATATAAACAGATGCATTAAGTATACACTAGAAGTTGATATACATGGTGAAAAGAGCCATTTAACCACAATTTAGAGGTCAGTGTGCTTTTTTTTAATGGCTGAAAAAAATCAGCTGATGTAGATGATCCTTCTTCCAGTAAGTTTTAAGGATGTAATTTTCTTTCTTACCTTTCCTTTTTCCTTCCTTTCTTGGGATCTCCTGATTCTGTTGGACAACTATTCCTCTGACTGCTGATGAGCGCCCATGATGCCTGGGGCTGATGGAAGGTAAAGCCCAAGAACATCTGGAGGCCTACTGATACCCGTCCAATCAGTCTATCAGGAAATAAACAGTTCTCAAAATTCTGCCAAACCCCATCACAAAACTCTAAGTCCCAAGAGAATATGATCAGGTTTGCATTTAGCATACCAAATAGTGTGCCTTTGCTTTTTCTCACTGAAAGGAATGAAAACTATATGCTTTAGCTGGGAGAAAATGAACTTCTATCACCAAGAATCAGTCTTCAATATGCTGCCCCTGGGCAGGGGGAGGTTCTGGGGCTAAATAACAATAATCAGTTGTCACAGCGACTCTTTTCAGGGTTTTCCAGGTAGAGTGTACTCAGAAGTGGTTGACCAGTCCCTTTTCCTGGAAGGCAGAAGGTCCACTCCTGCTCCTGTTCCACTGACGATCACCAATTACAGTAAAAGCAAACAAACAGGCCAACAAGCCTGCCCCCCCCCCCAATTCCCTGAAAAAAGAGAGTATGGTTGGCTCTTTGGGCAGTGCAAGAGCATCAGGTTATAAAGTAGCTCACAACTGAGTGGGGAAAGGGGGGGGGACACTCTGAGATTTGGGAGAGAGGCCTGATCCACAAGCTGCCCATGTTGATTTCCTATTGCCTTGAGAAGTGATTGTTGCTCTGGTTGCACAAGAAAACAAATCCACAGATGTTCGTGGAAAGGGAGTACCGGTGACATGTTCTTTGCAGGGCTGCAATGGAAAAGTTCCTGCCAAGGGTCAGCTTGAGGTCAATTTTTATAACCACATACAAGAGCAGATTTATCATGGATTTGCTGATAGACCTCTGGCAGCCTTGCTTCCCCCTCCTCCCCATACGTTCCCTGCAGAACACCCAGTATAACTTTCATGGGGAAACTGGTTTGCAGCTTGAACTTTGGCAGGCAGTAGTAATAGTAGTAGTATATAGCTAACGCCTGGGATGCCACACACAGAAAATGGCGTTGCACAGGTTTGTGCTTTTCAATGGCAGCTCCTTGAATTCCCCAAACAGCATTCTGGGAGTTAGAGTCCAAAAGCACAAATATGCACTTCCTAATGACAAGATAAGGAAAGCAAGGGTCATAACTCAGAGCACGTCATTTACTTACAAAAGGTCCAGGGTTCAAGCCCCGTTCATCTCCAGGAAGGTTGCCATCTGAGGGCAGAGCTTCTTTGAAGGAAACGTGTTTACAGGAGGTTGCCTCAATGCACATGAGGCGAATTGTATTGTCATCGGTCACTGAGAGACAAGCAAGGCTTTGGTTTAATGTTTGCCTTCCTTCATGATACACTTTTCCCTCTTCACCTGTTTGGCAGATGATGTTTTTATTATTGGAACTCAACGGCTAGATGATGGTGATGGTAGTTATTTATTCCGTTTATGTCCTGCCCTTTGTCAGGATAGCTCAAATTATTATTGAAACACGGTTAAAAACAGAAGTTATTTTAAATCACAAATCTAAAACAACAAACCTATGGAACCTCATCTGTAAATCCCATTTTAAAAAGCACATTAAAAATTACAAAAACCTAAAACCGCACATTCCCAATGTCTGCAACCAGCCAGATTTGCAAAGATGGGCAAGGCTATATTTTGGAATGATAACTCTGGGAATACAGTTCCCGTGTCCCCCCAAAAGTGACACTTTCCACCGCTGTCTAGCTGCAGAACCAAAACTCCAGAGTTGGATTCCTCTCTTGGGAGCGCAGCCAGCTTGTGTAGCGTTGGGCAAGTGACACAGGCCCTTGGTTTCCCCCCAAACTAAACCATTTTGGAGTGCTAGAAAACTCTGGGGAGGGCTGCCACTGACTTGATGGCACGCAATTAGTCATTTGGGCGCGGGGTGGGGTGGCGCTGATGCATCCCTCCCTCGCTCTATTCTGAGGCACACAGGCACCCGCCGCACATACTGTACACTCTCACACACACACACACACACACAGAGAGAGAGAGAGAGAGAGAGAGAGAGAGACGTGAACCAGGACGAGGAGGCTGTGGTGTCCCTAAAAAGCTGGAGGATGTGCCTTCAGGAACACCTCGGCTAACAGGCCCTGGGAAGTGGGCGGCTCGGTTCCCGACCCACCGGCGGATCGCCCTCCAGGCTTGCCCGCCCTTTAAAGTGTGGTGTCCCGGGGCGGCGAAGCCAAGCCCCCGTTGCCCGTGTCTCCCCTTCTCCACCCCCTCTCCGGCCACAGCCCTGCTCCGCTTTCCCATTCAGGAACCTTGGCCGGGCTTGAAGGCAACCCCCGAGGCGCTCGGCTCCTGCACGGGGCAGGTCGGGCTCCGCGGAGAGACCACGAAGACCGAGGGGGGGGGAGAGTGAGGGGAGACCCCTTCCTGGGCTGGAAGGAGCGCAGGTGGCGCCCCCCCCGCGCGCTCCCTCCGTTTCTGCGCCTTGGGGCGGGAGGGGGGAGCGGTCGTCTGAACGGGGTTCGGGTGCCGCCCCCGATCCCTTCCTGTCTCTCGCCTTGCCCTGCCAAGGCGATCAATGGAAAACCAGAGAATGGGCGCGGGGGGGCGCCAGAGGAGGCGGGGGAGAAAAGGAAGGATCTGCTCCCCGTTTCCCCGCGTAGGCGACGCGCTTCTGGCTCCGCGCCTCTTCCTTCGGCCACGGGCGGACGCGGCTCCCCAGCGATGTTTCTGGGAAGGTTGGGGGAGGGGGAACGGGAGTTGGACAAGGGAGGTCTCAGGTCTGGGGCCGAAGGTTTTGGACCGAGAGGGGCCGCCGCCGCCCGCCCGCAGTTCTGCCATCGAGCCCCGAGGGTTTCCATCTCTCGCGGCCCCTTTTTCGCCGGGATTTTTCCCCCGGTTTTCAGAGGAAACCCAACAAGGCGGCTCCTGCGCTTTGGGAGCAGGAATGATGCGAGGAGGATCCCCCACCCCGAGATGTATCTGGGGCCGAAGGTTTTGGACCGAGAGGGGCCGCCGCCGCCCGCCCGCAGTTCTGCCATCGAGCCCCGAGGGTTTCCATCTCTCGCGGCCCCTTTTTCGCCGGGATTTTTCCCCCGGTTTTCAGAGGAAACCCAACAAGGCGGCTCCTGCGCTTTGGGAGCAGGAATGATGCGAGGAGGATCCCCCACCCCGAGATGTAATGTAGGAGGAGGGGCTGTACTGTATATATATGTGATGCGTGTGTGGAGAAGAGGAGACGCTGGGCTCCCCGCTCCGTTCTCGCTCTCTCTCCAGAGCCGTGAGGCGTAAGAGACGGAGAGGGGAGGGGGGGCTACCGCTGCCCCGGGGTCCAAAGAGGGGAAGGGGCTGCGGGTGCGGTGGGGGCTGAAGGAGTCAGCTGGCCCCTTGTCCTGAGAG